CTTCATTACGTCCAGTCATTGTTTTGGTGTTAGATTCATTTCCTTGTCACCCTGTCTACTCTCTCTTGCCCCCTGTGCCACTTTCTCTCTCTCTCTCTTGACAGCCTGCCTTCTGTCCCCTCATATCTGCAATCAGTTAGCTAATCAGCCCAGGTCCATTGTCCCAGCATTCACTCTCCCAGTACTCACACACCTCGTCTGTTCTGACTCCTTGCTGGTTCCTCCCGTTACCTGCCTGTCTGCCCCCTGCCACTCTCTGCCATCTTCTCATCTAGATTTCAGTTTTTTGCTCTTCTCTGGTTCCCCGTGTTCTCCATGATTTTTGTTGTAAGTTTTTTTCTTGTTGTTTTTTTTTGTCTTAACTTTTTCATTAAATTCACAGAACCTACTTGATGCCTGCCGCCTGCTGAATTCGGGCTCACTTTAAAACCACAAACCATGGCACTGTGCTCGTTCAGTCTGCCAACAAGTCAGTTGATCACTTCAATAATCAACTAAATCCAACATTATGCTAATAGCATGACATTAGCCCTCCTGCTAGCACCATGTTTTATGGTGGTGCTCAGATTTCCTCAACAAATGGGGTTGTGTGTGTCGCCCTGGCAGTTTTGAGTTTGGTCTGATTTAACAGAGCAGCACCTCATTCAGTGTTTTCTTTGTCCTCTACTATAATTTGGACTTCCTCAGTCATCGAGTGCATGATTAACAGTTGTCCCTCCCTGTTGTTGTCTCAGCCGATTCTTTCATTAAAAGTCTCCTTGCCTGGCCAGCCAGTTTAGACGGATGGTCATGCCCGGGTAAGATTACAGCTGTTGTACCAGTTTTGCGTTCGGATGAACGACAATGCAATGCTATTGAGGTGCTCCAGTCTTCTGATGTGATTTCCTAACCTAACTGTGCTTCAGACGTCTCCACGACTTCCTCCCCGTCCTGTTGATTGCGCATGTTGGTCTTCTTGAGACTTTGTTCTGTAATTGTCGCAAACTGCTGCACTTGCCTTCAGATCTACGTATGAAAAAAGATCTACGTATGAAAAAAACTCACTCAGAATAAATCCTCTTTCCCAAGAGTGTCCTGGTCAAGATGGCAGCGAAAACAAGCAAAGGGACCAAATACAAACAAGAGACACGTTAAGGTTTCGTGCTTATGAGTTAAAGCTGATAAGTGAGCCTTCAGAACCAGTTCTCCTTTTTTTTTTTTTTTAACAATTCACTTGAACTGCTCCAAAGTTATAAGGGGTATTTTAAGGCCCTTTCACCCAGTTCAGGTGTAACTTTTGGGACTTGCAAGAGCACAGACCATAATGACTCAAGTTTCTACACAGAAACAAGTACAATGTATAGGAAGAAGCCCCAGAATCTCTTTCAGTGAGGCTCTGAGATCAGTTAAAGGGGGACATTTTGTCGTAGCACGCTGTGAGTAATGACACATTTGACAAAAAAAAAAACAACCAATGTCATATAATGTGTCAGATTTTTTAAATTGTTTTTTCCAAAAGCTGGGCTGAAGAGTTCATGAGAAGCAGATCTAAATAATTAATGATGATCCAATTTAAGTTTTTGCTCAGAAATTTGTTTCTCAGTAAGATTTATCAATCACAATACCTGAATATACGTAGCATCGACCTTTCGAGCAGTTAGCAAGCCGGGGAGGAGTAGTGGGTGTTGTTTACCACCATGCTTTTGATTTATCTGCATTAAAAACCAGCTTAAGCCTCATCAGACAGCACTGAATAAAATCCACGTTTAAATGATTGAGAAACTGAAGAAGATGGATGATAAATAGCCGCATCATCGACATAAAGATGGGATTTAGCATCAGGCAATTTATCACAGGTTGTTGACACAAATTATGAACAACAATGGCCTGAGTAAGGAGCCATGAGGCACTCCTTGCTTGAGCCTGGAGGCACACCCCATGAAACAGGAAGGAGGGAGAAAAACGACACGAAGCCTGGACACAGTGTGTCCTGCTGTGTAAATAGTTTGAGAACTGGCTCCAACTTGAAGAAGACGCGACACCATTTTTTTTTTCAGAGTCGATTCATCAAGACGTGATCGAAAACTTGAGATGAGTCGATTAAAAAAAAAAAAAGGTGCATGATATTTAACATGTGTGTTGTCATTTCCCACTTTCAGAGAAGCAGATGTTGGATTGTGGTTTTTACAAATGAAGGAGAAGAAGAACAACAAGAAAGATTGACTGGAACCATTTAATCTAAAAAAATATATATACATTTTTATTTTTTCCCCGCAACCAATTTATTTCCCAGAACGTCACTTGTTAGCTTCAACTCTCCTCACTTGCTCAAGAAAATGTAACTTTGCTTTGCAGAGCTGCATTAACAGAAGGCAGGAGAAAGTTCTGGTCCCGGCTTGCATCCGAGCACAGCTTTGAGTTTTGCTTGAATTACTCATGTTTCTCCAGGAGGGGGCGCCCGAGTCACTGCTGAACAGTCACTGGGTCACATTCTAGTACCGTCTGGATCAGTGGTATTTACAGTAGTATTCACTAAATACTACTGAAGTATTTACAATCCTAGCCTAGGAACCAAATGACCAAATGAATTTAAAAAATACTTTATTAATTCTAGAGGGAAATAAAATAAAATAAAATAAAATAAAATTAAATAAATAAATAAATAAATAAATAAATAAATAAATAAATAAATAAATAAATAAACAAATTTTGCAGGCTTGTTGAGAAAAGAAAACCCAGCTCTCCAGCTACTAAATAAGGAAATTTGTAGCTGAGCCGCCATTTTATTGCGCCTAGTGGGTTTTAAAAATGATAAAAAAGTATACCTTTTATCCTGTTGATCCCACACAAGGATCAACTTCCTTTGTATGGGATGTTGATATTTGTGAAAAATGAAGTCGAGTGGAGGCGGGACATAATCTCTAATCTCATGCTAAGAATTTGCTGCTGCGTCTGAAACGCGGATCACTTTCTGTCAAAGTTATTTGGAGCCGCTGTGGAGGGTCCAAAGAGCCACTTGTTCCTCTGGAGAGGAGCTCTGGACTGCATCAATAACAAGCTTCAATGATTATCCATTGAAAATTGATTTTATTTTTGCTTGTTCTTGTGAAACATTTTTGATTGTTCTATCAGTAAATGAGATAAAACAACAAAAAAGAAGGAAAGCTATTCTCTGTAGCCCACTAACCCTCACCCTGACCCTGACCCTTACTCCCTCTCTCCCCAAAATGTGCCACTTGTATTATGCTTTTTTTTTTAAATTTTTAAATGTATTTATTTATTTATTTTTGCAAAAACACTTTTCACTGCAAGTACATCTGCAACGCTGTCCCAGACAGAGACTAAAATCTGTCCTCACCGGTATCTTGCCACAGAATGTCCTTTAGATTTAGATCTTTACTTTGACTGGGCCACTCCAGCACAACCATATACAGGTTATGCGCCGGCCTACATTACTCTGAGATTATGTTTAGGTCAGTCATCTTATATAAGGGTGAATTTCCACCCCAGCCTCAAGTCTTTCAACATTAAACAAAAACGCAACATTAAACAAAAACGCTCAGACCAGCATTTTTGTCCCTGCTCAAGGAAAGCATCCCCACAGCGTGATGCTGTCACTACCATATGTCATCGTGGAAATGTTATGTTCAGGTGTGATCTGACCAGAGCACCTTCTTCCAAGTGGCGAGTATGCAACTATTAGTTTTTCTGTCAGGATATTCTCCCACTGATGTGAATCTCTGCAGCTCCTCCAGAGTGACCATCGGTGCATCTCTGATTAACGCTCTCCTGTTGGCTTAGGCAGAAGGTTGTATCTCTTGCTGGTTTGAACTCTTATCACTTTCAAACAATATATTACGCAGTGTGATGAGAAATGTTCAAAGCTAAACCTGTGGTTTCATGACTTCCTGCGTGTAACAAAAAAAAAAAGATAAGTAAGGACTCAAAGGAAAAGTTTACGAATGAGAATTTTAAAGAAAATATCAGCGAGTAAACAAATAAAATTACTAATTAAGTCTCTAAAATTAGTCATGTCAACGTGAAGGGGGAACATGCTGAAATCAGACTTTGTGAAGACAATATCAGGATTAATCAACATGTTCCTGATACTTTTCATAACTTACTATCAAACACTTTTTTATGAGTCATATGCCACAGAAGATATCCATCGGTTTAAGGACAAGTACAGTCCAGCTAACAAGCCAAATGCATTATCAATATTATGAAGAGACATAAACTGCAAAATGCTGCAAAGTAATAATAATTTAGTTACCTAACGTGATAGCATTTTAAATGTCAAAAATAACAGCTCGGAAATAATAATAATAATAATAATAATAATAATAATAATAATAATAATAATAATAATAATAATAATAAGTATATGTAAGAATTTCAACGAATTCTTTTTTTTTATGTATTGTTTAACAGTTGTTTCTGTTTAGCGTTAGGGGAAGAGAGGGTCTGTTGTGTTGTCGCCTTCCAGACATGTTGGGTGAACGTGATTTACACTGAAATCATTTAATCCTTCAAAATAATAACTCCAGCTCCGGGTGTCTCGCGGCAGTTCCCCGCGTGCCCTGCCATGTTCCCGTAAATGTCAACAGGAAGTAGTAAAAAAAAAAACCTGAAAGACTTGTTCGATGTAAATATATTAATATTTGACGTTGTATATTTCTAATTGAGAAATTGTTTCCCATATTTTTTGTGTGACTTGTGATTCTTTTTTTTTCGGGTTTTTTCCAAACATGCGCGTGTTTTGGTGACGCGCGGAAGAGAAGACTAGTTTGAATCGTAGGGGTGCCCTGGCGGCCATTGTTGTCTTTGGGCCGTTCATTTAACAAAGTTCTGTGTTGGAAGAGGAGCGCTTCGTGAGGGAAGGGCGCTAAATATCATTTTGTTCTTAGGATATTTATATTGCCGTCAAAATGTCACATGTCTAAGCGTATAATTACTTTATGCCCCCTCACTCCGAAAAGTGGTTCCTTCCGCTTAGATGCTACAGAGGTTCCTGTGGCTTCCTCGGATTCACCGTGACGCGCAGCCTCGCTTAATGTCTGAGGTCCCCCAGAGACCGTGAACTACCGAGGTGTCCACTCAGAGAGAAAAGCTGTCCGAAAAGAGCCGTCGGTTGAGGGGTAAGTTCGCCAGACGTGGTGTGTCCAACGCTGAGAAATAAAACCCCGTTTTTCCCCTAATAAGCCTTCTCTGTTTAGCGCCGCGGAATAACGGTCACGAAGCAGACCGAGGATGCGAGTGAGCTGCTAGCATAACTTCTTGTTAGCACTCGTTTGTTTAACGCTCTGAGGTGGAACACTTTGCGGGACACTCGGTTCCTCTGAAACTGTAAAGTGTCTGGCTTATAACTCCGTGTGCTTTTAGGCATTAAAGAATCCACCAGTCGCGGGGAGAACCGGTTCTGAAGGTCATACGTGGATGCGTTTCCACCGACATGGTGGAAAGTTTGTCAAATAACCGAGTCTCTTTGTTGGTACAGTGTCAGTAACCACGTCTTATGGTTTCATCTGCAATTTTGCTCGTTTTAGGATACTAGGGGCTGGGTTCATAATGTACTCATTATTTTTGACAGTGTGTTGTCGAAAGAACAAAGCGAAACAGAGCTTTCGAAATGACTGAAGGCTGTTTACCTTGAGCTGAACCGGTCGAGAAGAACCAGGGACATTATTTCTATCACCTGCGAAGAGAAAATGGAAGCAAAAGATGTGACGCTCTGTTGAGTTGCTAGACTGTTATGGTGGTGCTAATTTGCTTTCAGGTCTAGTTTATAACAAGGGGTGCTTCAGTTGCGTTCACCTCGATCAAGAATTGATTAGAGACAGCATCATGCAAGCTCTCTGTCATGTAGAGTTTTGGATCATGATTGGTCTGTGATGGTTTTTACTGACTGAATGTCCCCCGATTTAGACAACGCCTTTAATTTTGCCTGTGTCATTTCTCTATTTTTAATTTCCAAGAATATTAATGGGTTATTTTTTTTTTATTTAAAGCAATAACCTACCTTCCTTTATTCTCTCTTGTGCGATGAAATAAGTTGAGCTACTTCACTTTCTTTAAAACTCACACTGACCCTTAACTTTGTCAGTCAAGGGTCAGTGTGATTGGTTCGTCTGAGTTCAAGTGAGCAATAGTTGGTTGGGGATGCTCATTAAAAGCACAACTATTCCATAACTCTCTGATTTGATGTTTATGGATGCTAACATATGAACCACACTTTTTTTTGTTTTTATTTTTTGGACAAAGCAAACAAAAACATTGACTAGAGAGTGCTTTTTTTTGTCTGTGGCTCTTCAATTTAATGGAAACCATTCCCAATGTGTTCTCAGTGCGTTCAAACTATTCATACATAATAAGATCACTCAAGACGGTGCCAGGTCTGAACGGTGTCGACATTAGCATCCTTTTTATTGTATCACCGTGTGGAAGGCTCTGTGTCTTTGCCGCATTTTTTTTTTTTGTAAATTGACACAAAGTAGAAGCAATTCTGAAAGCTGTTGACGACTTGAATTAAAAAGCCAAACCTAACCTTTTGGGGATGCCATCACCATCTTTTAACGGTTGTGTTTCAGAAGAGGCACAATGGATGAAGAGGAGCAGTTTGTGAACATCGACCTGAATGACGACAATATCTGCAGCGTCTGCAAATTAGAGACTGAAACGGGGACCCTGTCCTTCTGCCACGTCTGCTTTGAACTCAGCATCGAGGGTAAGAAACTGGAGAAGAGGAAGTGAGTTGTTTGTTTGTGGAGAGCAAACAACTTTTTATGTTGTTTGCAAAGTTGGTGGTGATGGATTATCCCTCTTCTCCCATTGGAATCAACAGTTCATTCAGCTGCCAGATACTTGTTCTCAACTTTAATGATTGTAAAAATGTGAATCTGTAACAGCAGAAACGAGGTAATAAAGCCTTAGCCTGTGAAATATTAGGAAATGAGTATTTGGTCATTGCCACATATGTCACCATAACAAGTTTAGCTTACCCCAGTAATTATTGCGATAAAAAATAATATTGTCATTTTGAGACCATTTTTTACTCTTATAACAATGGTGCATGTACATCTTCTCAGAGAATAATAAAAAAGAAAGTAATTTCTACAGAAAATGTATCGCTGGAACTGAAAAACATTTTACATGTTCATAGTAAAGAACCAAGACAACTGTAACAACAATAATTAAAATAGATTAGGAAGTCTCGGCAATCAAAATTGCATTTTAGTAAATAATAATCATTCAGCTTAGACAGGGAAAACAGGCAAAAGTGGCAGGTAGCGCAAACTAACTCCTGTGTCCAATGTTGGCAGCGTTTCCCCGAAACGTCGGCTTTTCAACAATCTCTATAACAACTGCTGCCCAAGTGGAAATTATTGTGCTCATTTTATTTATCACATGATTAATTGTTTTGACTTATTGTCATAGGTGTAGCCTTGTAAAAGTTAAAAATTTATCTTATACACATTCACAGTGGTCTCCTACCTATTCATCTTTCAGTATTCGCAGATTCACCTTTTCCTGGATTGTTTTGTGGACCGCAGCATTAAATTATTTCCGGAAAATTTGCTGGTGTGTGGATTTTTTTTTCTCAAAACATTCGAAAGGAAATGCAGCGTGGGAAGCCGATATACCTCGCGCAACTATTATAATAGGCACCTATAAGCATTTTTGGAGTTGCTCCTCAAGTACTTGTGGATTTTTATATACCCTCCACATGGTTTTAGCTGCTGCAGGTCTGTAGCATTTGGAGGAATATCCAGATTAGCAGAACTCTTTGTCCAAGCAAATTCATACTGCTTCCATTTATATTTCCCTAAAAGATTTTCCATAAACAATTGTTATCCTCATGAACAATTTATAAGCCTTATATAAGAATAAAAGCTTTTTATGACCAAAGCATTTATTATGACAAACTACAATGATCCCCCCTCCTGTTTGATGTGCCACTCCAGCTCAAGTGTGTGTTTGAAGTTTTTTTTTTTTTTTCATCTTTTAATTACTGAGTGGCCTATTTGAAAAAGAATGGGGAATCATCTAGGGCTCATCTCATACATACACAAAGGCTTTTTGTTTTTCTGCACACAATATGACTTTCAGCTACTTGTTAGCATGCTGTTCCAGATGCTGACGGAGTTCCCGTCATTTTCACGTCCGCAGCTGAAGCGGCCGCTGTGGATTTACACACGCAGCCTGTCACGGTGGAAGGAGACGGTGTGTGGGTACTGAGGAATTGTTGTTCACCGCGCAGTAAAGTGTTGTCAGTGAATGTTTGCACGCTCATTAATCATCATGCAGGCGACAAGAATAGTAGCCGTACATACGCTAGAGAGATGCCTGCAACCTAAATAACTCAATACAAGTGAATTATGTCAAAAGCCGGTGTGAAGAAAGAATTCATACGTCAATCGGCGTATGTTAATGTTTCAGTTTCGCACGGTCACACACTGTTACCTCAGCAGCTGGCAGTTTTTTGGTGGCTTTCACTGTTATGTTTTCCTGCAGTTGCACAAAGGAATCATTCCGGTTTGTAGTTTTATCAGGTGAGAAACTCAAAAATCCAGCCTTTTTCCTGATCATTGAACATAGCCTTCGTAATGACCAATGACCAGTAGTCTGGGGTTTTGCAGACAAGCGCATGTTTCTGATGCAGCTCTGCATTTTATTATTATAAAAAGGCTGCCACATTTCTTTTGGCAACTTTTAGGGCGAGTGAGTGACAACAAAGGCCAAAGCCTGTCTTTGCTGATTGCTCATGTAGACTTAATGGCTTTTCTTTGTGTGTAATCGCTCGTTGAAATGGACTGCCAAGTTGGCATTGTTTTTCTCACACAGACAGATGTACTCTGTGAGAAACCTCTCCATCACGCAACTGTTTTTCCCCCAAATTCATTTTTAGCCGCACGTCCCTTCATCTGTTGCCTCATGTTGTTGGAATACAGCGGTAATGACGGTCACAGTACTGATTTGTGGAGTCACAGCAGGACTTGGAATTGTAATTGCTAACGAATGAATACAGAAACATGGACTCATCATTGCTATTCTCAGATAATTCTGCTTCATTTTGGCACTGAGTTAATGGATTCTGTCATGTAGCAGACAATGTTTGCTGTGTTCTTCATTGTAGATTTTGAAAGAGATGTTAATTATTATAATTCCCAAAATGTTTTCTGATGAAATTTGACAGAAAATGTTGGGTCTGCCAGGCCAATCGATGACGGTGTAACGCTGCTATAGAACGACACAGAAACACAAAACAATGACACTGACGTCATTGTTCAATAAAAGACCTGGCTCTCATACACAGATGTAAACTTGAAACTGGCATCCTGAAAATTATCCGCTTTGGAACCCAATTTCAGGAATGATCTTTTCTGATTTCTTCTGCTCAGCATGTCTGATTTTCATGTGGGCGCACAGCCTAAACGAGAAAAAAAAAAGTCTGCGGATACAGCTAGCATCTTCTCTGTGGAGTTTAAAACCTACCGGTGTCCGATCAGTAATTTTTAAAAAGCATGACATTCCAACATCGGCCAATATAGGATTTGTATTTATTTTTTTGTCTGAAAAGTTTTTTTTTTTTGCTGATAACTATACTGAGTACTTGTGGCCAAAGATAGAGCATTAAAATGGCATCTACAGGAAATCAGTTGATCTATAAAATAACTAAGAGATGGTATACTCATAGCAGAAATCAGTGCGACGCTATGTGACCTTTGTATTCATTTCCGCCCCCGGCATCCTGGTCGTTTGGATGTTTGTACGGAAGACTTGTCGAGACTTGCTTGTAAGAATGGTTGCTGCTGGCTTGCTGTTTAGTCAGATTATCTACAATCAGCTATAACTTTTAACAATTTGTCCTTCTGAGAGTTCCAAAATAACTAATCAGCCATGTTCCAAAAATCATGAAGTACATAAGCATAAAGCAAAGATTTAACGCTGTCTGCGTATGAAACTGATTATCCACAAGCAATCTCTCCACAGCGATGATGAAAACACTAACTTCAATAGGACTTTGGGACACAGTTTTACACAGGAAGTGAAGGCATTGTTGTATCTGAGGAAACCCCATATACCTGTGTGCCAGTTTATTCAAAATAGACATCACTTGGCTTGTTTCTGCGTTGCTCACCCTTTGACTTAATATTCTTTCTCTTGGAGATGTTTATTTTCTCCTCTCTTACTGCTCCATCTCAATTGGGTGCTTCGCATTGCCCTGAGCGTCAACACAGTCGGTCTGTTGTTCAGAAGCAGAACAGTTGGAGCCAGTTTAGCTAGTTGTTGTTTTCATTTAACGGCAAACGCAGCGTCAACCTGAACCAACATGTAATCCAGAGCTGGGAATTTGATACTGGCTAACCTAAACCACAAACTACCAAACTTCACTTATTAGTGGTTGTTTATATCAGCTGTTGGTTTGAGTTAAATTCTGAACATAATCCAAGTCATAATTTGCTGTGGTGGAAGCACATAATTCCAGACAAAACATTTGATAGCTTATCTATCGTTTTTATCTTTAGTTTTTGTAGCTTCCTGTCATGCTAACTACAGAGCAGGCATGCAGTTGTTTGACTGTTATTAGTTCAAACATAAAGAAAGTATTTGTGGTAATAAATCCTGCAAAGCATTGGATAAAACCCATCGGTAGATTTTCATCTACTGGTATCCAGTGAATTGAAAATACATTTCATGCTAAAAATATAACGCAAAGAGCAAACTTTGATTTGATTTTAATATAAATCCATATGACGCTGTAAAAAAACTAATCAGATTGTCACTTCAGCTTATTATAGATAATGAAGAGTCTATGCTTGGATAACATACTTATTTATTTAATAAGACCATCTGTCTGATTCCCTAAATGGCTGATTAAAGCCCAAGTAAACTCACTGGTACCGGGCCTGTTGGTCCCATAATTAGGCTGCTGAAGTAAGTGCGTTGTTCTTTGTTCAAAATAATCTATGTGTTATTTAAGCCGCCTCAAGTATATTTTTGTCCCACAACAGCATCAGCAGAGTCGTTCTAACCTGACACCTCGCACGTGCCAAGCTGCGTGTGTAAAATGTGTTTAGGGTGACCACAATCCTCTCCTTTCATTGGTCTTTTGGTCATCTCTGGCCGCTTGTTAAGAGCAAGGTGTCGAATTCAGCAGAATTCCTATATGTGCTTACATAATGCAGATGCAGATATTCGCTGAGTCCTCGTAACACAACGAGCCTGTTTTCAGATCGAATAAACAGAAAAATCCCACAGCAGGCGCCTGGCGAAACAGACGTCGATTGTTGCAGCTCTACAGGGTTTATTGTTACGCGCTCTTCTCAGCAACTAATTTACCGAGGCTCAACTCTTCACCCCGCCTGCTATAGAGATGCCTGGTAATATTGCTCCCTGTCGCAGCTATATAATTGAACACAGAAGCTGTTATGACGAACGCTCCAGAGCCCTCCTGCTTACCATTATGCTTTTGCTCCTTCAAAAAGATTTAGTCTCTGTTAACCTGGCAATTGCAAATAAACTGTCACTGTTGAGTTTGGTCTTTGTTTCATTAAGCCTTTTATAACAGGCTTTGGTCAGAAGGCAAAATATTTTTATCATGTAAACTCTTGAAAATCCTCTTTTGTCTGAGTAACACTTTTAATTGGACGTTAAAGGCATTTTCTGCCATAACATGAGCCAGTTTGAGATTATTTACACTGCACAAATACATGTGACCATATATAAACAGGACCTTTATCCTCAGTCATATAATGCAGCCATTTATGCTCCTTCACAAAACAGAATAGAGCCCACGACATCTCAAAATATGTGATGTCGTGCTAAAAATATAACGCAAAGAGCAAACTTTAGGGTGACCGCTTGTTAAGAGCAAGGTGTCGAATTCAGCAAGTTACTCTCCCATCCCCAACACAAGAATAACAAAAACAATAATAGTGTGTCCAACCTAGTATTTGTATCCTAAAAGCTTTGACCTGCTGTTATATTAGCTTGACAATTTATTATCAAGATAAATCTGTTAGCGACAGGCTTGCCCAAATTTCACTTTTTCACATAAAGTTTGTCCAACGGTTAAAATACATTATCAACATGCAGAGCGCAAATACTTGACACTTGACATTTAATAACCTACCAAATAATGCATTCACGCTATCCTTTTCAGTTGCACTATTGAAAACACAGATATGGTTACTTGTTTCGCAAATTTGACGAACTTCTCATCTTCTATGCTTTTTATAATACCGCTAAAAATCCCTCATGGATGTCGTTTGTTCGAGGTAGCTCTTCAGTTTTGGATTGACGAAGCAGCTTGAATCATTCAGCCATGGATCTAAGAAGCCATTTGTCTTCGTCTGTCTTCTTCCAGTCACAGAGATGGGACTCCTGAGCAACATTTCAAGGCAGATGGTGGCCAGATGTGACTGTGACTCGCTGTGTACCATCTGTCCAATTCTGCTCTACAGTTATCAATAATGAGATCCTGAACAGTCTTTTTGTTACGTTTGTTTTTCTGATAGAGTTGATCTGTTTGTTTTTTTACCGTTAAAAATTTTTACATTACTACATCTTTACATTGAGTAATCCCAGTAATCTTCACGTTTCTAGAAGTTTAATGTGAACCGAACTGTGGAGGGGTGTGGTTACTGTTTAGTTAGTGGGATTTCCTGCAGTTACACTGGAAGGAAGCGTTGTGGAGTTTGCAGTGGTTGGCAGGTGTTTGAACCGTTTTTCTGGAGCTCCCTGCTTTACATATTATCTCAGGGTTGATGAGAAAGCCGGCCTGCTTCCATGCTGTAGCAGCAGCTGCAGCTAACAGATTCTATTGAGCTGAGGAAAACCTCTGATGACCTCTGTCCCACTTGTTCTCACTACCAACTTTCAACCGTCCACTACTCTGAAGTGTGTCAAGGATCGGGTGTCCTTCCCCAGCTCTTCCACCTAGAGCAAAACCAGATGGCTGGTTGATTCTAGCCACGCCGTGTGCTAGCCTTGGTTATCGCTCTCAGCCGCAATATGTCTCAATATGAAACATGCTTGAATAGCAAAAAAAACTTTTTTTTTTATTTCCACGATCAAGTTAAAGAAATTATAAATGACTGAATTTGGCCCTTTACACAGTGACTCAAATATTCAACTAAAACCTCCTGTTCAAAACAGGCATTTCAAAGTGAATGTTTTGAAAACTAATGACATACAGGGCCACTGTGCGTTTCCTCATAAGAAACCACAATGTTTGCTCTCCACACACTGAGATATCTGTGTTGGAGAAGTGAAAAAGTTGTAGCGGCTCCCCTAAAACCAAACTGTCCGCCTTTTAATAACTCCATCCTCAAAACTAAAGACATGTTTTGCATGTTTAAGGAAATACCCAGTAAAGTACCAGAGCGATCAGGGGTTTCTGTTGCTAAATGAAACATAGATTTGCTGTTGCCACTCAGTTGGCTTTGCCTCTCCTTTACCCAAACTGCTTGACTAATGAACCAGTTAATATCAACTCATTTGAGTTTTTCTACAAAGAACAGAACAATAAAAGCTGTAATAATTCCAGAAATTAGAACTTACTGCTAAATTTAGCCTCCTTTCAGTTTTTAATTATATATTATAGAGAATGTAAATGCAATAATCGGTGTTAGATTAGATCAGCGAGAGCGTGACTAATTGCGTCTTTTCTATTTTGGAATAGACGCAATTAGAGCCTATTAAAATATAGTTTTAAACCTTTGTGTAAAAACTTTGAAACTGTAATATTTAAGCTTTAAGGATAGGAGTGGGGATTTGGCCCTCTTTTTATTTATAGACTTTGCTTGTTCAGTTCTTGCTTGACTGATCCCAGTGCTGTAGAATAATTGACTCGGCTCGCAGCCACTGCTGCCTTCAGACTGAAACAGATCAATAATACCAGCTGTTTACATTTCAGAGGTTTCTGTCAGACTTAACCAAGCACGTTTTCCATCTTTCTCTGCTGGCAAGTCTGACTCCTCCCTCAGGAGAGCAGAGGAAAGAAACCCCAAGCGTATTGGTCCGTGGTGTGTATTATCGCTACTTGTCACAGCTCAACAATGTTGACTTCACCTCCACTGAATAGTCTGTGTGTTTGTGCTTAATGTGTGCGCCCATGAAAGGCAGCAATGCTAAGCTGCTTAGGCTGAGTGAGGTCTTTGGCTGGTTGCACACTGCCCTGGTTCTGGGCCAATGTTTTTTTTTATTTTTTATATATATTATTGTTATGAAGCTAGTGGTAGAGAATGTGCTTCAGTAACTGATCAGCTTACTAACGCTGTTTGACTGAAAGCTTTTGCAGCTGTTATTAAAGGTCCTTTGACCAGAGTTGCAACCAACTTGGATTACGTAATGTGGTTTCCTCACAAGGCTAATCCACAGAATAAAAATCTGTCTTTCCAGGCACTCTGGGCCAAGCACAAATATGCAGAAGCTAAGAATAGATTCCCAAACACACGGTTGTGTAATGGTCTAAAACTCTGCTGTGGAAGAGAGCCATTAAAGCTAACGATCCAAACGAAAACCACATTTTGAATCTATTTGCAAGCACTAAAAAACTACTTAAGAAAATTAAGGAGAAAATGAAACATATACTGTCTGGTTTTAGACTTTCTAGCTAGTTATTTCTGGAGTTATTCCCTTCTTTTCACTTCCGATATGATGCAGATATCTGAGGTTCAGTATCGTCTGATACCAATCTGATACAGAAGAAAAATGTTTGAAATGTTTCTTTTTCTGTCAAACACGGACATAAATGTGCTGAATTACAAAATTATTTGATAACTTTGCACCAATACAGCGCACTTAAATACACTAATAATTTCACAGGTTTGGTCAAAGAGGTAAAACCACAACATTAATTTGTGCTGTCAGTGCATTTAGGAGCAAAAACAGGCAATGTCAAGACAAACTTTCTGACAAATGGTTCAGAAAGTCCAATTAGAAATTCTAAATAAAATGTAAAATAAATGATAGCCATATAGTCTATTAGACTCTAAGTCTAATAGATCTGCCCGCATGGATTGAGCACATTGACACGACACCCGGTCTAGAAATGTTTTTAAATATCGGACCGATGCAGAGATTAATATTGGATCGGTGCATCACTATTCATTACTAGAAAATAGGTTCCTGAACACTATAACAAAGTTTCAAGAGCAGTCAGCTTGGACTGCAGTTGCTCCAGTTTTAAATGCAACATTTAAACTGCAAGCAAGAGGAGAAAACATGATTTCTGCATTTCCTAAGATGTTCAACTATTTCCTTTCTGGACTGTCTAGTCTTTGGCAGCTCTACCTGGTGGAGCTAGATGACCAGGAGAGACTTGAATCTAATTTGCTTAATCTAGTTTGACACCATCTTGTAGCTGCAAATAGAAAAGAACCAGATTCAGGTGTAAAATTTTCTATGAGCTCATTTGTAAACATTTTATGGGTGTTTTAGAGACACTTTACTGTTAATGGAACAGTACATTAAAACATCAAGGGACATTTCTACACTGTATCCGGTGGCAGATTCTCATGTTTTGACCTGTTTGGGGAGTAATTTTGAACGGAGCTGTGCTCCAGTTTTGACTGCATTTTGCTTTGTGGTGCAAAAGCGGCCGTGGCGATTTGAAGTGCAAGCTAAGCGTGCCACAGTGATCTCCTGTAACAGTTTAAAGATCAGTTTCTGATCTCCTCAAGTCATCATGTACCTCTTACCTCCTGAGAAATGTAGGCCGTGCTAAGAAAGCCACCACTCACTCTGCTGTTTGTCACACACTCCTCTCTGCAGATTCAAACACACACACAAGAGATTTTCACCTTCAACTTCCCTCGGTTTATCAAGGCGACCCATTTTACAGGTGCTCTACTTCCTGTCTGAGGGATGGAGGACTTCACTGGGGAAATTTATTGAATAAATTTAAATAATATTTTTTTCCCAGAACAATTGGGAGCCAATTGTTTGGCCCCATTTTCCTTAATCTTCAGAGATTGGTGATCGGACGATACTTGAATGAGAAACTGATCGTATACACAAATCTTGTCTACCTCCTCAAAGGTCTAAATATCATTAATTGTGTGCGGTTATCAACACACAGTTTAGATTTTTAGACACAGTTGAAGAATTATGAACCACAAATATGTAGAAAAACCCAATTTTTTTTTTTTTTTTTTTTTTAGTTGTGGCGCTAATCCTCTTTGTTTTTGTCCGTTTCTCATGCAGGCGTCTCCTCAGCCTCCTTGTTGCACTCGAAGTCGCTGCGTGGCCACAGAGACTGCTTTGAGAAATGCCACCTCATTGCCAATCAGAAGCTGTCCCATTCCAAGGTCTCCAGAAGTGCCTATGAGGGTATGAAGCTGGCCCTCAGCCAGAAGCTGAACCGCATCATCCAGTTCGCCCAGAACAAAGACTCGCTCTCCTCCGGCGGCTGCACCAGACGGGGAGCAAAGCTCCTTTGTTACAGCCAGCAGGACGAGCGCAAGCTGCTGCCCCAGTCTGACGCCCAGGTGCCCCGCTACGCCCCCTGCTGGGACAGGGCCGGGGCGATGGGGCTGCCGGCGTACGCAGCGGGGATGCTGGAGAGTCAAACGGCCGAGGAGGTGGAGCTGCTGCGCGAGTCGCGGGCCGACGGTCGGAGCAAGAACGGACGGAAGGATCTGCACAACTGGAAGCAGTCGTCAGGACAGAAGCAGCACAGAAACCAGGGGCACAGCAGAGACGAATGTACGCTATAATAATTCCCTTTTTTGTAGGAGTTAATGTAGATTTTAAATCTTTTATTTCTTTGTTATTAAGTCAAAATAGAATATTCATAGGAGGTAAAGTAGAAGAAATTAGATGTTTTTTCCCCATCTTTGCATCTCATTCCACCCTGCAGAGTTCTTTCTGTACAAGAATTTAATATATGTTCCTCTAATAACAATAAACCAATGTGTTCTCTTTCAGTGACTAAAATGAGTGTGGATGAGCTCCATCAGCTGAACAGCCAACTGCTGAAGCAGATTGAAAGTAAGTTTCCTACCAACATCATGGGATTCTTTTAGCTGTGTATCTGAATCCAATATTCAGATTTTAATATTATTTAAGTTCATCCAGGTTATTCATAATTAATCTTCATCTCAGGACTGCAACATATTCTATATCTGATTATTGGACCATTTTGTATCACTGAAAACTAGGGTCAGACAAAGAAATGTTTAATTAAAAGGTAGACTATTACCAGACTATTACCAGAAAAAAAGACAAAAACACCAGAAGAAAGTCATGAGAGTGGTTTTAATGAGACCAAGCTCCAGTCTGTGATTTTTTTTTTCTTCTACAAAATATATGCTGAAGTTTGGAAAACCATTTCTAGTTATTCTAATAATATTTTGATGCGTATGTGTTAAAAAAATGTTTTCTTATTTGTTAAAGTGATACCAAAGTAACTTCACAAGATGCTCAACATTCCTCGTTTTAATATTTTATTGGTTTTCATGTTGGAGTTCTCATAAAGTTACTACTTAATTCAACTAATGTTACGGCTTTATTGTGGTAAAATTATTCACGTAGAACTACTACTTTTTCCCCCTCACATTATTGTGACATTATTCCAATAAAGTCACAAAATGACTTTTTATCTTGATATTACAAATTTACTCTTGTGAAGACTTAATTCTTGAATTACTTTTTTCTAAATTTTTTTATTTATTTCATCCTTTTCTTGGCCGTAATGCTACATCGTAATTTTTACCCTGGCATATGTATATATATTTCATTTTTTTATTTTTTTAAAGAAAATAAACAAATATGTAACTTTGAAGAGATGAGGGTTGATTAACTGATTTACTACAGCTGTGGTATTCCAAAAGTCAGATCTGGTCAGGAGCAGAACTTGGCGAAGCCTCTCCATTCTAGTTTGTGAGGAAACATCGCTGAAGTCGTGACTTTTTTGTGCGTTTGCTCACAATGCTTGAAGAGATTTAATCCTTTCATACGTGTGTGTGCCGCCCGTCTCCACAGAGGTCTTTGAGGAGCTGACGGCCGCCGTGCAGGAGAAGGATGCCTTGGCGTCAGAGCTGCACGTCCGTCATGTCGCCATCGAGCAGCTCTTTAAAAACTGCACCAAACTGCCCTGGCTGCACATCAGCAGGGCCGGCGTGAAGGCCAGCACCAGCGGAGCCGCCGTGGAATAAAGGGCTGGAAGACGGCAGCACCCCCAAAGATGGACTCTCTGAAAATGATGATGATGATGATGAAGTGGACTGCCACAGCATGGAGGAAGCGTCTGGATTCCATTAGACTTTTACACTATGTCGCCATTGGGCCACCGGCTCTGCATCCGCACAAGTTATCAAGGGCTCTGTGGTTCTGCGGGCGCAGAAACGATGCGAGAGTTTTCAGTGCTTGGCTTGTTGCGGCTCGAGTTGCAGACTGCTGATTACCCAGGATGCATGTTGAGAACGGCGAGTTCCAGACACGCCACAGCGTAGAACTGGAAGGGAACGTCTTGCGTTTTAACGTGCCGCAGATTCTTAAGAAAAAACAAATTTTTTTATATTGACTTTACATATTTACTTATTTTCTTTTACTGTGAGTTTTATTTTCTATGCTGTTCAATAATTAATCATTTCATTGTGCCCGGCACAATTTTACCTTCGTTCTCTTGAACGAATGTAAAATAGCTACGGACCTTCAGTTTTTTTAGTATTTCTTCAATTCGTTTTCAGTTCAGAGATGAAGATCAGTATTTTGATCTTTGAAAAGTGAAAAAGCATTCTATTCAATCAAACTTCTTAGCTGCACAATAATGACCCAAAATAGCTAAAGAATTGAGGTGTCGGATTGTCTTGAAACTGCTCTGTTTGGATTTGAAGACTGACTGTCTGAAATCAGCAAACCGCTGCTTGTCCATTCATATTTCTTTATAGTTAAATTATGGAGAAAAAAATTGTCATAAAGTAATGTAATAGTTATTTTCTGAAAGCTTTATTTTCTACCATATGTCCGTTTATTGTCACGCTGGACCTTGTTTGGATCAGATGATTATGGTCCTAGATCTAACCAGAAGTAATTTAAAAATGACTTATACTCCAGCTTGAGGATATTGGTTAATGTGAGTAACTTCACACCTTAAAATACTCCAAAAGCATCAAATTTCCACCGATTCAGTGTTTGGGAACGACATACAAACTAGACTTCTGTTAGTTTGGCTTCCAATTATGTTTTCAATCATGACTTTTTACACTCTGTTGACTGAGGAGACGTGTTATGTGAAGCTTCCCTTCAGTCTATGACCATTCTGGTGTAATTAGTTTCCCATTTTATACAAAGCAGTGTGATGTCTATCGTGTAGCTATCAAGCACCATGGACGGTTAAACACTTATTAAAAAAAAAAACAAAAAAAACATAGAGCTTCTGAAAAGCAAATTCAGTTGCAATACCAAAGTCTGTTCTTCATTTTATTTTTTAAAAATAGAAGAAATAAAACACCATATGACGATGATGCAACACCAAACAGATTTTATAACCCATGTGACTTACCCTTACTTGTTTTCATGTGTTCAGAGCATACTTTGTTGATTCGTTCTCAAGTTGCTTTCTTTCCCGCCTGTTCAAATGTGTCGGAGCAAAGTGTCCACATAGCAATACAAACAGGGCGGTTTGGTCTTCAGTGCCTATGGACGTCCCTAACTTTTAAAACAAAGGAAGACAAAGGTTTATGAATCCTATGCAAGTTACAGACTAAAATACATACGGCCTTATCGAGAGAGTATTGGTTTGACTTTTCTTCAGAGGGCGAGGTCACCGATTTTAAGAGTTTCTAAGCTTGATGTGTAGAAAAACTCAGCATTATGTGTATTTTGCTCTTTGTAAGAGATTAGATGTTTTTGACCCTTTTTAGGGTCTAAAGAAATGGTTTTAGCTCGGTTTTAAGCTTCCCCCCCCCCATGGGTTTTATTTTAGTCGTCTTGCTTGAGTGAGTTTTTGTTTGGTTGTTTTTATTTATTTATTTACAGCCTTTTAAATCTTTGGCTGTACATTTGTTTTTGAGTTGCTTTCGTGTGCTGTTAGAACATGTCTGAACCTTTCTCCCCGCTCGGTGGGAGAACCAGTCCCATTATCTCCAGCTCAACATGGAGGCATATCTGTTACACTTCTGCAGTAGTTGTAGCCTGACTGCTCATTTTCTTACATTTTTTTAAAAAATTTGTACTTGTTTATGACTGAATCTGTCTTCGATGTATTTGCATTATATTTATTGTGTGTGGAAATAATTTGTCTTTTGAATTGTGCTTAAATGACTTGTTTTTTCCAATAAAAATAAAAATGCAGGTATTTTTACATTATCTTGATATGCAGTTTTTTTTATACCAATTACAAACTTTTTTTTAAATTGCATTTTAAAGTATTCACACCCAGTTTGCCTCATTTTTATATAATTGGGAATAGGAAGGAAAGGGAAAACATGTTCTACAATTGTGAGTTCTGAAAAGCTTGCTGTGCACTTTTATTCCCCCAATAAATAAGACGATACTTTGTGAAGCCACTACTACTTTTCGCTGCAATCACACATCTAGAGGCTGAAATGTTGATAAATTCTTATTTGCAATTTAGTCTTAATAGTATCTGTTAATCCTGCTCCTTTTTTCCTCCCCATTGTTGAAAGATATAATCCAGATCATTTCAACTCTGTATGTTTCATGCCGTTTGTGGATGAAAAGCTGAAACTCTTCCCCAGTTTCCAGTCTTTTGCAGCCTCTGTTACTTAGCCAGCTAAGGGAGGATGTATCTTGGACAAATGAAAGCAAAAGTTGAGGTCACGTTAAAACAGTTTTTAACACCAGACTAGTTTTCATTAGTAAAACTTTAGAATGAAAGAAAGGGATCCATAAAATATTACATTATTTTATGGAAATCTCTATGATCATGATTCTCCAGATAATCCAAAGTATTTTCCAAATTCAATGAAGCAAATGATCTCTTATTAGGTGAAGATTATGGGGGGCGGGTGTTTTTGTATGGCCAAATCACTGGTTGCTTGCACAAAGCACATCTTTGTGTCCCAATATTCCACTCTGTGGTGCGACACTGCCCCCTGCAGTTACACGTGCAAAGTGATGCTGTTATCTTCCATGTTTACTGAACAAGAACAGGCAGAACAGGCCCAGATGCTGTCAGCCCCCCGAGTCCTACAGGCTTTGTGCAGAGCAGCTGTGTGGGAGTCTCAACCTGACTCAGGAGAAGGTTCCACTGAAAACAAAATGACAGATTACTGTCCTACTTCCACAGGAGGGCCTTCCTGCCCACAGCCCTCCTGGGATAAACACATAAAGAGCGCCACCCTGAGGACAAAAAAGCGCATAAAGCTTTACAATACTTTATAAAAAAAAAAAACTTAGTGTTCTTAATTCTACGGCACCTTCCGGTTGAATACAATTTAACATGTCTTTGTTCACCGTTTCAATGTTTGAGGACGGGTATCGTATCGCAATGTTACACCCGTGATTGCAACCCACAGAGCTAACGATATGAGTCACAGAAATGACTCACCATTGATAGGCATATATTCGACCAATGAATGCGATGCACAGCTCAATTTTGACCAATGAGAAAATGAGTAGGCGGGACTGAAACTGTAATGGGCGGAGTCACCATGGAACGTCAAGAGTTTTCCGTTACCCAGTCACCTCTGACCATTCATTCTTAGTCCATGCTGCGAGGGACGTCGTTGATTTATATAAGGTAGGCTGTATTCAAACGTTTGGGTGCTGTGGTTTAATAAGAGCGGGACCGTGTTGTTTTTCTGTCACATTGTGCTGTCGTATTCTTCCTCTGTAGCCGTGGCAACCTACCTGGACTGTTGGCAAGATGTCAGCCGTAACATAGAGTGGTGATTAATGTAGCCTGCGCTCGGTTTCGGTTATAACAGGACAGTACTTGTTTTCTACGCTCCCGAGCGACTCTGAGCTACAGCTAAAAGGCTTACGCCGGCTCCTTTTCAGTTCTGAGTTCATTTATGAGCGAAGCGAGCCCACTGTTTTCGTCCCCAGCCGTTAGCTTTCAGCTAGCCTCGGTTAGCTTTGTTGTGGAGCGTGCTGTGCGGGAACAAACGGAACCTCTGCGTCACAGCCCGCCTTCCCAGGACCTATTTGATCAACAGACCGTTAAACTTGAGCGGGTTTATCCCCTCGTAGCTTTTGAGAGCAGCCTTTTGCCATTTGTGATGTATTTCCCTCATTGTGTTGGAGTTTGTGGAAAACAAACAGACAAACGCTAAGAGTGAACGTTAACCAGGGCGGTGAGCTTTTCTCCAGCTTCTAAATGTTTTCTCTCGAAGACTTAGTCGGTAGTTTGTAAAAAAAAATGAAGGCATTTTTATCGACCTTTTATTTCAGACACTGGTCCAGCAGTATACAGTAAAATTATATAAGATATAGTGACCGATCCGATGCAATTTGTGTAAATGTCACACAGAAATGCAGCGATCATTAACCATTATTTTTCTTATTAATAGAAATTCTGAAAAACCCAGTCAATGAGATGGCATGTTTTTTTACATTCTCACAAGGCTTCTAATTTCACCCTGATTATTTAGAATGTTGACTTTACTTTAATTACACCACCAGTGAGCTCCATAAAACGAAAACCGGCCATCTGCATGGGCCAGTTTGCTGTCTGTGCACTTGTAAACTTTACATTTCCAGATGGCAGATGTGCTTGCATGTGTAACTTGGAGAAATGTTTACAAACAATATAATGACTTTTGGTGTGGCCTCGGTATTTTGTATTCATGTTTTTCATTTTTAGCAAACTTGTTTGTCTGGGGGTGGGGGCTCAGAAGATCTTTACTTTGACACTTTGTCTGCTAAATTAAAAGAAATTGGAACATTTTATGGCTCTTAAAATTGTTGTATTCTATATTTTCTGTGGACTTTTAATTTCCTTCACAGGTGAGTATTGTGCTGTAGGGGTGCGCAGATTCCAAATTATTTTTTTCCCCCTGAAAAGTCTGTAAATATAGTGATGAAGTTGGCAACAGTGGGGTCTGGCTCTCACATAAGAGCATAACAGGACAGTGGCTGATTTTCAGACCTGTGCAGAAGTAGATAAGTTCAGTTTCACATGCAAGTACCAAACTGATTACGTAATGTTGGCTAGCAATTTTGTCTAAAGACACATTTAAAGACATAAGCCACTTTTCCTGTTCCGTGAGTCTCATTCAATTCCAATTTTCTTGCAGAAGCTCACGAGCCGTAATGACCAGACGTGAAACATGATGCGAGAGATAGCAGCAGTGGTTTTCTTTCTCAAGAGACTCGTGAAGAAAGGGGAGAAGCTGGAATCTGACAAGATTGAGCTGTTTATTGAGAGGCTGGCTGTTGCACTACAGGAGAAGTTCAAGGGTCACTGGTACCCTGAAAGCCCCAGCAAAGGCCAGGCATATAGGTACTGACGATATTTAACAACACTGACTGTGAAGTAAGTCTGTACTGGGAATAAGCTTTTAGTTGTTAAACAAAACCTGGTCTTGTTTGGGGTTTTTTGGGTGATTTTTCAGGTGCATCCGAATAAACAGAGTCCATAGGCAGGATCCGGATCTCCTTCGGGCTTGCCGGGAGAGCGGGATAAAATATAGTGACCTAGGACTTCCCCGTGAGCTCACACTGTGGGTGGATCCTGGAGAGGTTTGTTGCAGGTGAGACTTGGTCAACCTTTCTTCTTCTTCTTCTTTTTTTTATTGTTTTTGCCAGATGTTTTCCTGGGTTGTTAATATTACAAGTGACACAATTCTTCTCTAATAAATATAACAAAAAAGAATTGTCATAACTTCTTGACGCAACTAATAATAATTTTAATAACTGATTAAAATAATTATGATAGATGTTATCATCTATTATTTAGATAACAGGAGAAAAAAAAGGCATATTCTGCTTTTTTTTTTGTATTTCATATTTTTTATTCAACATTAGAAACATCTTAAAAGATGCAAATAAAGAAATAATGTAATTCCTTATTGAAATAACAAAATAAATATTCCCTAAAATGTGATAAAATGTTACCTACTCAGTAAACCTGAACCGAGTGAATTAAAACGGTTTACCACCTGAGGAGTTTTGCAACAACATATTTACAGACAATATTGTTTTTATCTTATGTGCTTTTTTTTTTCTTTTGCACAGCTTTGGCTTAATTACTGTTCTGAATATGTTGTCTTTCATACTCTCTGTTCTAGTTAACAATTAGCCTATTATTAAATTTGTTTACGATTATTTCAATAATCGATTAATCATCTCAACCCTAGATTAGATTTTTTTTTTTTTTTTGTGCAAAAAACATATTTTTTTATTTCATTCAAAAATAAACAAGTATCCCGTCCAGCATAGAGGTCTAGACGCTTTTCTTCTTCTCCAACAGAATGCTCTGTAGTTGATCTTTTCCTTATTTTCTCCAATTGCCAGGTATGGAGAGCAAAATCCTTGCTTCTCAGTCGCCACTTTCAGGAGTGATGATGAGGATGATAAAGATGTTGCAAAGAAGGTGACCAGCGCTCTGGAGAGAGTGACATCAGACTACCATTCAGGTTCTTCTTCTGACGAGGAAAGCACCCGTAGTTCCCCCCTCACTGTCCCCAACAGCCGCTGGACCCACCAGGTACTGTGCCCGATGCTAACCTGTGTCGGATCTTGTAATCCTGCCCTTGTTCTTTTCATATACTCCTCAGTAGCTGCATTTCCGGTACAAATGTGCTCGAAACATTGTTGACATTCTACTAATGTCAGAAAAACAAATTTTTGTAATTGCGATGTTTCCAATAAATAAGGAACGCAATTAAAATTCCGCGTGAACGTTTGTTCACCCGATAAGTTATTAAAAATCATGCCACGCCATTGTCTTCCTCCCACTTCCTGTCGTCATCTTCATCTTTTCCGCCAGTAGTAACATTTTGATCATGTGACTCGTGTGATGCGAAAAAAGTGTTTCCATTGCAGTTTTTGAGAAATATAGTGATGTCAATACATCCCAAAAACCACCTCATCCTAGGGCAAAAAAACTTTTTATGAAAAGATGTGAGATTTTCCAATATTGCATTGTTCCCATTATGCACATTTAATTTCAGACATCTGGTAATATGGTCAATGGAAACACAGCTAATAAGTAGCATTATCGAAGTATTATGCAAAATTAACTTCTGAGATTTGCATCATGTCATAATGGACCCACACCTTGTGTCTTGCTTTGCTTCTTTCATGCATGTTTGAAAAACCCTTTAGTTTCCCATTGGAACCATTTAGCAGTGCAAAATACCTGGTTGGAACTAGTGCTGCCTTCAAGGCACATCTCCTCATCAAAGTTGCAGTTTCAAAATTACAAGCGCACCATCTCCTGTGTCTCCCCCATTCAGGTCCTTGAGACTAGCCAGCAGCATTTAGCAAATACTCGGTGGAACCGTGCATGTGCTCGTTAGATGGACTGTTTCTCAGTGAAACTGCTGTAAAAACATTTAAAAAGGATTGATAGAGGAGCAATGCGATGGCTTCCTGGAAGTGGAGATTCAGAAAGAGGAGGAGTTTTTAAGGAGACAGAGGTCCAATTTCAAGGCATTAAATTATGAAATAACATTTCTTTTTTGATGTATATAGCATTTTTTTATAACAACTGAAGGTGGCATATTTACCTAACTGTGATATAAAACGGTTTAGTTGTACAGTGAGAACTCTTGTGTAGTTTGAACCACAAATGTAATAAAACAATACCGTCTTTGCTCGACGATTATGATGCTCCATTGATTTTGTTCGGCGAACCAGAAATAAAGCTTCTGATGGCCTTTCCTCCCGTTTTTAGACCATGAATCCTGGAGCTCCTTCTTGGCACCCCAAAAAGATGGTGCCAGGGAAGGGCCACGTCCTTCCGCGGCCTCACTACTGCTACAGGCCGCGTGGCAGAGCCTCCCACACGTTGAGGAGTAACGTTTGGATCCCTCCTGTCTACAGAGCGGGCCCCGAATACTGGGACACCCACCAAAACGTGGCACATAGTTACAGTTAGGGACCACGGTGCTTGTGGATCACACTGGACATTAGACCTAGAAAAAACTTTGAGACTTAAAAAAAAAAAACATGAATTTTTATAACACAAATATTGTTTTTCAGTCTTTTTGCACTTTAGATGTTTTTGTTATAGTTGGAATAACTTGTATGAAATTAGGCAATAAAATTGGAATACTACATGTGTAATTTTGTGAAGTACTGTATTTTTACTACAGGAGATGTTCATGTATGCAGCTTAATGTCCTTTGTGATGAAATGTTTTATTTATTAAGCAAAGATTTTCAGATGTATAGGCTTAATGTTATAAACTTTTATTAAACATTTCCAAGCATCACACCTTGTTTATTCCTCTGCTGTTTTGTTCAAAGAACGTATAGGTGCATAAAAAAAAAAAGGGTTGCGCTGACTTGAGGATTTTTTAAAAATTCAGTGGATAAGCACCAGATGACGCAACACCCCAAACAATCACTGACTGGAAACGGCAAGCAATGCCTCTGCGAATTTCCCCCAGATGTTAGTTGACCAATTATTTAATTATTAAAGGTTGACTTCCATATAAACAGGCTTTGCACCAACAAGCAACAGTTTCAGTACATGTCCTTTTCTGAAGATGTGTTTTGTTCTGAGGGAAGAAAAAATACATATTGAATTTATCTTGATGTGAATTTCAAATCCTAAATATTACCATCATATGCCTTAACATCTGGCTGCAACACTAAAACACCTCGGAAGAGGATTTAAAGTAGACAACCTGATATCTTTAGGTTTGCAATCTGCAGAGCTGTTTTTGTTGTTGGTTTCAATCCTTTTAATGCCATCAAATAAATTAGAACATCTGTTCTGAGAAGGTATGAAACAATTTTCATTAAGATCACATTTCTATGTTAATGGTTTTCTTTTTCATTGGACTGATGTAATCTTCTAATCTATATAGTTTAATTAGCCGTAAGCAGAAAATCGTAATTGGCGGTGATAAAAGCTTGATAACATCAGCTTGTGTGTACCGCTTCACTCAGTGAGTTAAGTCGCTGACAAGTATTGATGCAAGATTGTGAAGCAAAATGGAGACCGACCTCCTTAATAAACAGCCACATTTCTATTCAATTTTGCAGAGAACCGCAAGTTGTGGTTCAGACACCAATTTCAACTGCATCAAACACACAGGAATATTTCCTTGCAGCGCATTCAACGCTGATACTGCAAGGAGTTGCCTATTTCTACTGGAACAGGGACCCCCTATTGTTTGTCCTTACTGCCTCTTTTGACCATGAAAGTCATATTGCCCATATCAAAAACTATCTGCGTATCTTTAATCATGCATACCTTACTTCAAATGGAAAAAAGGACAAGTATATTGATGACTATCAACAGGCCCGTGCACAGAAAGAGACACGATATGATGCTGGAGAACCCTCCATTTTTCCCTGGATAAAAAAGTGCCCTTCTGATTTTTTTTTCTTCTTCTTTTTACAGTGTGGTCAGGTTTTATGTGCCACACCAGATGCTTATTTTCATTCTCAAACACCTGGCCCCCATTATGTATGTGCACATCCTTGAACATCAATAAGAAATACGCATATGCAAGTATTCTTTTATTGCTAGGGCAGCTAATTTTCATCTGCAGTTCCTCAGCAGAGAATATATAACAAGTACCAATTATTGCAGAAAAAAACAACAGCCACATGATGCAATATCATAAGATCTGTTGTATATATTGTATAAAGAGCCTAGAGCAAAATGCATTTGCTATGTGCAAGATGAAAATTCAACACTTCAATAAGGGTTAGCGTTCCAGATTAAGAAAAGACAGAAAAAGAAGGGCCTGAACAGGATCAAAAATCCATTACAACCAGTGTGTGCATGTGCGATTATTATGCATACAATAATCGCACATGCAGATTTGGTCTGTGACAATTCACCTTCAATTTCAGAGGTCTAAAGAGAATTTCTTGGCCTTCATTGTTTTGTTTTATTCAATGTCAGCCAGTGCCCTACTAATTCTGGTAGAATGCACATCATTGGGTGGACTGAAATCAGGTCATTTCAAGGATGATCAGCGGAAATCAGATGTACCTGAGCTCAAGTCTCAGTTAACAAAAGCTGCAAAACATATATTTAAATGTTAAATTTTTTCAATTGATTAGGAAAAAAAATAAATCTGAAAATAAGCTTTTACTTTGTGATTAAGGGCTGTTTGATATCATATTTGAACCCATACTAGTAACCCTGTAACGTGACAAAATGAGGAATAAGGAAGCAAAGGCTGTGAATATTTTCTGATGCTGAACGTTCACCTGCCACGGACTCCAATTCTGTTTTAAAAGGAACTTCTTTTTTTTTTAACATGGGTACTGAACGTGTCACCTCTTTTCCCACATATCATTGTGTATTATTTTCGTACTGAATCTTAGAACAGGACGAAAGTATATGAAGTGTTAAATCCATCAAATGATTGCTGAAAACAAAACTGTTCTGATACAATGTATTTCTCGATGATAGATTTAAAAAAAATAATAAAATAAAAAGGCACCGAGGACAAACACAAGTTTTTATTTTTCGCCAGCAGAGGGCGACCGTGAACCGTCTAAACGCGCGTCCTCTGGGTTGTCACGTGACAGCCCGAGGCGCGCTCCGCTGTGCACCTGCACGGAGAGAGAGCGGCGGAGGAGGAGGAGGCGGAGTGGAGTTCGGATGCTTCGGTGGAACAGAGCGAGGCTGACGTTTCCCGGTCGGTGTCGGTACAACTTCTTTCGGCAAGTTTCTCCAAAGAGCTGTTGGGATATTCGCCACAAGGATGGAGCTCCCGAACCCCCGGCTTTGCGTGGTGCTGTTGAGCCTCCTCCCAGGTAAGTTCCCAGACGCCACAGCGGACTACTTTGATGAATTTTACTTCCAGTAAAAACGACAACGGAGCAAAAAAATAGGGCAGTCCAACAGAACGGTCAGTCGTTAGCCTCTGGCGGGTAACTGCTTTCGTCGAGCTTTGACCAAGTGTTTAGTTTTTGGAGGGTTTTGTACCACCTGAAGTTGATAGTTAATGTTAACTATGGCACATATAAATATATAAATGACCACTACTAGTTAAATGACTCCGAAACTGGTAGTCAAAGGTCGGTTAGTTAGCTAGGAAGCTCGAACCCGCGTGCAACAAAGTGAGATTTAAGTGAAATAACTGTTTAAAAGTTTGATTTTTAATAGTTGTGCTATTTGTTTTTCCACTAATTTACAGAAAATAACAGAGAAATAAAAATTCTGCAGTCATTTACATTATTTCTCTGTTTTATCCTAAGCAACCACCATGTAAAGTTACAGGGATTTAAAATGTATTGATTTATGATAGCAGCTAAAATACCAGGGCTTTTAAAAAAAAAAAATTTATTCAATGTCAGAAACGTCTGCATGTGTGTCTTTTGGTTTATCGTTCGCTGGTGAACACAAAAGCTTGATCCGCTTTTAAACCTGTGGCTGGAGGACTTCAAAGTGCTGCTTTTTTGGTCTGCCATCTGCCAGCGCCCCTCCACCCCACCTCCCCTTCTCTACCCCCTTATCCAGTCTGAAATCCCGGCTTTCATATCAACTTAAATACACGTTTGCTCATGTTGGCAGATTTATTTTCTCTGCTGGTTTAAATGATTCAGAGGAAGGAAGTCAGCTGTTTAAAGTTTAATGAAGGGATTTTTGTTGGCTCTTGGCCTTTCTGAAAGTGCATTGTGTTGTGTAAAACATCTGATTGGATGAGTTATTTCTTTTTTCCTCTTGTGCGATTTTGCCAGTTTCTAGTCAAGATCATATGTTTCAGTGAATCAAATCGGAACGTTTTATTTTAAAGACGCATCGTGTTTTACTTTGAGTTTCCAGTCACAAACTACTAGTCGGACGTTTGTGTAAATCAAACAAGCTTTAGGTAAAGTTTGTCACCAAAAGAGTAATATGTTATTGTCACATTTTGTCATTCTTTCGTTTTTGTGTTTTGACACATTGTCCATGTGCCTTTGGTGAGATCACAACATAAAACTAATCGGTGTTCTTTAATTTCCTGCAAAGGTAGTGACTTCATGCAACAAAACATTTGAGCTGCATCTTAGTGCGCTCTAGCCTCTGGAGTTGATTTGATTTTACCCAATTGCGAACGTTTGGCTGACATATGTAATGCTCTGGCTCCACCATGAAGAAGCTTCCCAGAAATTGCGTGCACCGTAAACAATCATCCCCCACAAAAAGAGACGTAGCACTGTTAGCCCATACATCTTAGCCAATGTCTAGCCTGTCTTTAAACATTCATCTTATTCTGACTTTAATTGTTTAATATTTAGAATGTGGCCAACACTGACTGAATGTTGTTGTTTGCTTTGTCCACTTCCAAACTCCAGCCCGACGGAGGCAGGCTACAATTCTTAAACAGTGCACAAAATTGATGTCATCTTTCACAACTCCTTCTGTTTGCTGATTGGATAAGATGGAATGTATTCTGAGGAATCAAATTCAATGGGAGAAATCTCAGACGAAGCATTGACGGGAGATGAGAATCTAGTGGAACGGCTTACCTTTGGGCCAAATCAAGATCATGAAGGCTCATACAGGGTCGGTTGTGCCAAAATGTATTGCTAAAACCTGTTCACAAACGATTAAAATATCAATAAATTCTTAAAGTTAAATAATATTGACCATCTTATCAGTCCCTCCAAGATTTTGTGATTCTTTTTGTGATTTTTTATTTTTTTTTGTTGCAATTTATGGTACTAATTTGGAAATATTTGCACTTATTTATGAGAGTAAATGTGACTTTTGATGACTCTGTATAGATCATGGACTATAATCTGATATGATTTACGTCTGAGGCAGCTGTTTAGTACAGGTAAAAAAGTTTCTGGCAATTTTTGAGAAAAATTTGCACTAAACTCCCAGTTATTAGTGCAATTTGTTAATTTTGTGTGAATTTCCAGGATAATTCTCAAGAAAATGGAGAGACTGATTGATATAATTTGGCAGTAAACAGATAAAAACTGCATTCATTTGATTGATGACTCTTAGTGTTTAGTCTAGAATCTAAAGGGCCACATAAAAAGTCAGAGCGGGCCAGATTTGTCCCACAGGGCTTGAGTTTGACACACGTGACATACACTATGCATATTTCGGGACTATTTAGGACCAATCAAAACCCATGGAGGAGGTGATAAGAAGTCAGACTAGATTAGATTGTAAATGCTTCAGAATTATCTGAAATTTGTCAAAAGTAGTTAATCTGTGGTAGTGTTTACTATGGCCACCTGGTCAAAGCCTCGTGTGACGTCATTGATGCAAATGGGCATGAATGTTTTTCTTCGGTGTGCTTTCAAGAAGCTTCACATTGTGTGAAATGTGATAGTTGAAATCTACAGACCGTTATGCAGCTGGGTTGTTTTTATCAATAGCGTGTATTTGGTAGTGTAAAAAACCCCAAAACAAACAAACCCGACTGGTGTCTTTAATGTTTAGCACTGTTAGCCCATTCTTTGTTTTGAAAATGAGCAAATACGCAGCTTGATCTCATTAGTACGGGCGTGGCATTTGGTGTGCTGGAATTTGAACTGAAACCGCACAATCACTCCTCCCTCTGAAGAATAGGGTGAAACATTAGCCACCCAGTTGTCTTTTGGCTTCAGTCAGTGATATGTCATGGTGCATAATGAACTACAGGAGACTTTTGCTGGGTTAGCCACCGAGCGTCAGACAAGGGAGGCACATTCCAGCGGTCTGACTAGTTGCAGAATCAGACGAAATGCAGAAGTTCTTTGTTGCGGATCTTTGAGCCCATCTCTGCAATGTACCGATTCCGGTTATTGTGTGTAATATCAGGCCAACATAGTGTTGCTTTGAGTCTGTCTTTGTCCCATGATTCGTATTGTTGTGTCCACGCTAGTTTGGCCTCATTACCATCTTAATGGCACCGTGGTCTCGTTATGTGAGCTCCGTTCCACTTCGGCAGACAAGAACAGTAGCTGCAGGATTCATGGCATTCTTCTGACTTGGCTTTGAAATGAATGGTAACGTGCAAAGCTCTCTTTAATGGCTAAGCAACAAGTGGAAGATGTCTGCTCCATTTATTTGTTTGTTCGACGCAAGACGTTGACAAAAGAAATGAGGCAAAATGGCGGGCAAAAAAGTGAATTTACTGAAACAACCAGAAATGGTTTCTTTCCTCTCACTAGCTGCAGGTAAACAATAGACATATAATAGCACCAGCAAATAGTTTTTCTTCTAGCTTAATGAAACAGAGAGAAACATAAAAATGAGTCATTCTTGGGTTCTTAAATGAGTTCCTACAGCAAAGCATCTGTAGATGGGACGTTTAGTGGAAAACGTATGAAAAATAGCTTTTTCCATATGTTAAATTCAAATCCTTACTGCTGTTTATTTATTGTCTCTAATGAACAAAGAGCACATGTCTGCTATGGAGAGAATGAGAGTTTTCTTCTTTTTCATATTTGTCTATTTTAGTTGGTGTGCTGGTTATAAACTAGATCAAAATCCAAATACTTCTCAAAAAGAAGTATTTCTGTAGCAGGCACTTCTGGTGTTTCAAGAGAACAACTAAGTCAACTAAGATTTAAAAATTGTTTTTTTTTCGTTTCACCTCAATAATTTCTTCTATAAGTTGACCTGAATTCAAAGTGCAAATAAATAGAGGATGTAAAATGCTCTTGTCAAAGAAAGATTAAGCTCGCTGACAGCTCTCTGAAACCAAAGGACTGCCTTGGTGGGAAAATAATTTTCTTTTTACATTTTCCGAAAAAATGAATTCTTCAAAAACAGAAAGAACACATTTGTTCATAGATACATGTTTGCAGAGCCGGTATGTTACCAGTGATTGCGTTTTTACGCTTGGGCAATCTGCAAAGCAAATTGCGAGCTTTGTAGTACACACTTGCTGCACTGGTGAAGATCTGCCCTGTCAGCAGTTTTCTGCATGGAAAGAACTGGAATAGTCCCGCTTTCTAACATCCTCCTTTTAGGGTCACTTTCTGTGAAACACCGCGAGTTGGAACAGATCAGAGTTGGAGTTCATGTGTAGCATTTTGGGAAAGATTAAATCCCTTTGAAGTGAACCGCGGGTGAGGTTGTAACAGTGTTATGTGATAAGCCGAAAACCGAAGGCCCCGGCCAGCTAACTGGTTGCTTGGTTACTACTACAAAAAAAACAAGACGCGCACATCCAGGGAGTGTACTTGAGTGTCCTCCAATTGCCTAAGAAATCTACCCTCCCCCTTGTTCGGCTGTTTGTGTTTGTTGTTCGGTAGATGAAGCTCTTATATCATTTGAAACAGTTGTATGCCTTCACTTCATAACTCTGCTTTGGTCCCTTTTACAATCTGCTGCCATGTTTCCATGAACTGGGTACAGACACTGGGTGCAGACGCAAAGCAGTGAATTTGAGCACTTGTCGTTCGGCCTCATGCAGATGATGATGACAACTGGAGGTCAGGTTCACCTTCCATCATCCGCTGCTCATCTCCTGTTGGCAGAAACATGTTGCTGCTGCAAACCGCCAAACGCCCTCTCCACCCAGAAGCCCCTTGTCCTTGAGAGCCAAACGGGGACGCTCAGAATCGGATTACACTCCGGGGACAGCGGCCCGTCCTCTACGATCTGATGAGGGGGGACAAGCGCACATGAATATTCACAGCCTCAGACGTTAATATTTTAGCATGCCAGGCCTGTCCTGTTCACCTGTGTGGAAACGCTAAGAGCAGATCGCACCCTCACTTTGCTACATTACCCTCAGCTCTCTTTCTCTCTCTCTCCTCCACCCTCCATTTCATATCTGGATTACTGAATGGACAAATTACTGCCTTCTGGAGCTCGAGGG